ATTTTGGTTTCGATCATAGGAGGCTTTTTTTTCAAAAAATATCGATTTTATATCAATATTAGCATTCTTTATCATTTATAAGACCTATATATGTTTTAAAATTCAATTTAAAGCATTTTTGGTTTTGATCATAGTAGGCTTTTTTTTCAAAAAATATCGATTTTATATCAATATTTGCATTCTTTATCATTTATAAGACCTAGATATGTTTTAAAATGCAATTTAAATCAATTTTGGTTTCGATCATAGTAGGCTTTTTTTTTCAAAAATTATCGATTTTATATCAATTTTAGCATTCTTTATCATTTATAATATTTGAATATGTTTTAAAATGCAATTTAAATCAATTTTGGTTTTGATCATAGGAGGCTTTTTTTTCAAAAAATATTGATTTTATATCAATATTAGCATTATTTATCATTTATAAGACCTAGATATGTTTTAAAATGCAATTTAAATCAAATTTGGTTTCGATCATAGAAGGCTTTTTTTTCAAAAAATATCGATTTTATATCAATATTAGCATTCTTGATCATTTATAAGACCTAGATATGTTTTAAAATGCAATTTAAATCAATTTTGGTTTCTATCATAGTAAGTTTTTTTTCAAAAAATATCGATTTTATATCAATTTTAGCATTCTTTATCATTTATAATATTTGAATATGTTTTAAAATGCAATTTAAATCAATTTTGGTTTTGATCATAGGAGGCTTTTTTCGAAAAATATCGATTTAATATCAATATTAGCATTCTTCATCATTTATAATACCTTGATATGTTTTAAAATGCAATTTAAATCAAATTTGGTTTCGATCATAGTAGGCTTTTTTTTCAAAAAATAACGATTTTATATCAATATTAGCATTCTTTATCATTTATAAGACCTAGATATGTTTTAAAATGCAATTTAAATCAATTTTGGTTTCGATCATAGTAGGCTTTTTTTTCAAAAATTATCGATTTTATATCAATATTAGCATTATTTATCATTTATAAGACCTGGATATGTTTTAAAATGCAATTTAAATCAAATTTGGTTTCGATCATAGTAGGCTTTTTTTTCAAAAAATAACGATTTTATATCAATATTAGCATTCTTTATCATTTATAAGACCTAGATATGTTTTAAAATGCAATTTAAATCAATTTTGGTTTCGATCATAGTAGGCTTTTTTTTCAAAAATTATCGATTTTATATCAATATTAGCATTATTTATCATTTATAAGACCTGGATATGTTTTAAAATGCAATTTAAAGCACTTTTGGTTTCGATCATAGTAGGCTTTTTTTTCAAAAAATATCGATTTAATATCAATATTAGCATTTTTCATCATTTATAAGACCTTGATATGTTTTAAAATGCAATATAAATCAATTTTGGTTTTGATCATAGGAGGCTTTTTTTTCAAAAATTATCGATTTTATATCAATTTTAGCATTATTTATCATTTATAAGACCTAGATATGTTTTAAAATGCAATTTAAATCAAATTTGGTTTCGATCATAGTAGGCTTTTTTTTTCAAAAATTATCGATTTTATATCAATTTTAGCATTCTTTATCATTTATAATATTTGAATATGTTTTAAAATGCAATTTAAATCAATTTTGGTTTTGATCATAGGAGGCTTTTTTCGAAAAATATCGATTTAATATCAATATTAGCATTATTTATCATTTATAAGACCTAGATATGTTTTAAAATGCAATTTAAATCAAATTTGGTTTCGATCAGAGTAGGCTTTTTTTTCAAAAAATATCCATTTTATATCAATAATTAGCATTCTTTATCATTTATAATATTTGAATATGTTTTAAAATGCAATTTAAATCAATTTTGGTTTTGATCATAAGAGGCTTTTTTTTCAAAAAATATCGATTTTATATCAATATTAGCATTATTTATCATTTATAAGACCTAGATATGTTTTAAAATGCAATTTAAATCAAATTTGGTTTCGATCATAGTAGGCTTTTTTTTCAAAAAATATCGATTTTATATCAATATTAGCATTATTTATCATTTATAAGACCTAGATATGTTTTAAAATGCAATTTAAATCAATTTTGGTTTCGATCATAGGAGGCTTTTTTCAAAAATTATCGATTTTATATCAATATTAGCATTATTTATCATTTATAAGACCTAGATATGTTTTAAAATGCAATTTAAATCAAATTTGGTTTCGATCAGAGTAGGCTTTTTTTTTCAAAAAATATCCATTTTTTATCAATAATTAGCATTCTTTATCATTTATAATATTTGAATATGTTTTAAAATGCAATTTAAATCAATTTTGGTTTTGATCATAGGAGGCTTTTTTTTCAAAAAATATTGATTTTATATCAATATTAGCATTATTTATCATTTATAAGACCTAGATATGTTTTAAAATGCAATTTAAATCAAATTTGGTTTCGATCATAGAAGGCTTTTTTTTTCAAAAAATATCGATTTTATATCAATATTAGCATTATTTATCATTTATAAGACCTGGATATGTTTTAAAATGCAATTTAAATCAAATTTGGTTTCGATCATAGTAGGCTTTTTTTTTCAAAAAATATCGATTTTATATCAATATTAGCATTATTTATCATTTATAAGACCTAGATATGTTTTAAAATGCAATTTAAATCAAATTTGGTTTTGATCATAGGAGGCTTTTTTTTCAAAAAATATTGATTTTATATCAATATTAGCATTATTTATCATTTATAAGACCTAGATATGTTTTAAAATGCAATTTAAATCAAATTTGGTTTCGATCATAGAAGGCTTTTTTTTTCAAAAAATATCGATTTTATATCAATATTAGCATTATTTATCATTTATAAGACCTAGATATGTTTTAAAATGCAATTTAAATCAAATTTGGTTTCGATCATAGTAGGCTTTTTTTTCAAAAAATATCGATTTTATATCAATATTTGCATTCTTTATCATTTATAAGAATTGGATATGTTTTAAAATGCAATTTAAATCAATTTTGGTTTCGATCATAGGAGGCTTTTTTTTCAAAAAATATCGATTTTATATCAATATTAGCATTCTTTATCATTTATAAGACCTAGATATGTTTTAAAATGCAATTTAAATCAATTTTGGTTTCTATCATAGTAGGTTTTTTTTCAAAAATTATCGATTTTATATCAATATTAGCATTCTTTATCATTTATAATATTTGAATATGTTTTAAAATGCAATTTAAATCAATTTTGGTTTTGATCATAGGAGGCTTTTTTTTCAAAAAATATTGATTTTATATCAATATTAGCATTCTTTATCATTTATAAGACCTAGATATGTTTTAAAATGCAATTTAAATCAAATTTGGTTTCGATCATAGAAGGCTTTTTTTTCAAAAAATATCGATTTTATATCAATATTAGCATTCTTGATCATTTATAAGACCTAGATATGTTTTAAAATGCAATTTAAATCAATTTTGGTTTCTATCATAGTAAGTTTTTTTTCAAAAAATATCGATTTTATATCAATTTTAGCATTCTTTATCATTTATAATATTTGAATATGTTTTAAAATGCAATTTAAATCAATTTTGGTTTTGATCATAGGAGGCTTTTTTCGAAAATATCGATTTAATATCAATATTAGCATTATTTATCATTTAAAATACCTAGATATGTTTTAAAATGCAATTTAAAGCATTTTTGGTTTTGATCATAGTAGGCTATTTTCAAAAAAATATCAATTTTATATCAATATTAGCATTCTTTATCATTTATGATATTTTAATATGTTTTAAAATGCAATTTAAATCAATTTAGGTTTTGATCATAGGAGGCTTTTTTCGAAAAATATCGATTTAATATCAATATTAGCATTCTTCATCATTTATAATACCTTGATATGTTTTAAAATGCAATTTAAATCTAATTCGGTTTCGATCATAGAAGGCTTTTTTTTTTAAAAAATATCGATTTAATATCAATATTAGCATTCTTTATCATTTATAATATTTGAATATGTTTTAAAATGCAATTTAAATCAAATTTGGTTTCGATCATAGTAGGCTTTTTTTTTTTCAAAAAATATCGATTTAATATCAATATTAGCATTCTTTATCATTTATAATATTTGAATATGTTTTAAAATGCAATTTAAATTAATTTCGGTTTCGATCATAGCAGGCTTTTTTTTCAAAAATTATCGATTTTATATCAATATTAGCATTCTTCATCATTTATAAGACCTAGATATGTTTTAAAATGCAATTTAAATCAATTTTGGTTTTGATCATAGTAGGCTTTTTTTTTTCAAAAAATATCAATTTTATATCAATATTAGCATTCTTCATCATTTATAATACCTAGATATGTTTTAAAATGCAATACATAATAGTTGCCAAATTAGAATATTACCTTTTAAAACTATTTGTTTCGTCAAAAATTTTTAAAGTGAAAGATCTAATAAAATATCACATCAATAATACGTTGACAGATGCTTTCACAGACATTGAAAAGTTGCAAACATCACAAAATGAATTTTGAGCAAAGGAGTCAGAAAAAAATATTAAATATAAAAACTCTAATATCTTTGGATTTTTTTTTTTCTCATTTACGAAAGCAAAAATATTTTCTTGATAACTTCAAAAAAATAAACTTTCAAATGTTTTAAGTTTATATTGGAAATTAAAAAATTTTCAAAATCCAAAAAAGACGTTTTTTGGCGTTTTGAAGGCATAGATTATGTCCAATTGTAAAAGTTTATATACAGAAAAATCAAGCCTTTTGATGCACACATTTTGGTACCCTTTGAGATTTTTGAAAATGAGTCCTTCAGGCTGTTTTAGAAAAAGTGTGTTCTGACTGAAACTTATAACTTACACGCTTTTTGTGTGGAAGTTAATAAATATTCCTAATTATAATCCATCGATAATCATTCATCAATTCATACCTGCTCATAATTTTAAGTAATAAAAACAAATTAATTTAATTTTTGTATTTTTTTCTTTCCATGAACCCTTTCCAGGAACAACTTTACACATGCTTTACGCTGGTATTTATGTTCATAATACCACTTTTAATACTAGTATCGAGCTATATATCAACATTTCGTACAATTTCAAGTAATTATCGAATTAAAATTCTTATATATTTTTATATCAGAGCTTATTGTAAAATCATGCTTAAAATAGACTATTATGAATCTGTCAAAACAGGTAGCGAGCGTGTGTTCAAATTAGAGGCCACAATTCATACAGACCACATACGAAGGAGTGATTCTAATCGACAAAAATTAATCCACAAAGCGAAAATGAAATCACTTCGGATTTCAGTTGTGATTGTTGCTGTATTTATTATATGCTGGACCCCATATTATGCAATGATGCTCATCTTTATGTTTATGAATCCGGACGAAAGGCTTAGTGAGGACTTACAGAATGGAATTTTCTTCTTTGGCATGTCAAATTCACTTTTAAATCCAATAATTTATGGAGCATTCCAATATCAGCCCATAAAGAAGCGGAGACAATACTTAAAACGAAGGTAAATAGATTCGATATTACGATTTTTAATAACAAATTATTATAGAACTGTCCTTTGAAACTCTAGAGATGGTTCAATTTTACATCGAAGCCTCTCAACGAATGCAACAGTAAGTACCGATCCTTGAGAATTTAATTAAGTTAATAACATTCTTATTTCCAATTTGTCTGTAGACTGTCAGAAATTTGAACAACTTGAATACTGTGACGCATAAGTATTCAGTCAACTCACATGAATCATATTCTCATGAATACCCAAAAGTGCAAAATATTGAGGAAGAAATTTCACTGATGAGTTTGGAGAAGGATTTGAAGACATTGGAGGAGCAGAACATTGCTTTGCGTAGAAAAAAAAAGTTCTCCGAACAGCTTACAAGGATTTTTAAGAAAAGACGTCCACATAAATATAGAAAATGATCGAATATTTATTTTTTGTACACGGACTCTTCTGTACGTTCTTTGGAACAAATTGAGAAATATGGATAAAACTGTATTTTTAGTAAATGTGAAATAAGATTATAATGTTGTGATTGTAAACTTAAAAATAAACGGAGTCATGTCCGGGAAATATTTTTAAAAAAATTTAAGTACATCCCTTTGATTTTAAATTATTTCAGGATATTTTTTTTCAGCACACTGCACCACGTGTTCAGATTTTATTTAACGGTTTTTTTTTGAAAACCTTACAATGTTGTAATGTTCCGAAACGTAAAAAACGATCAAATTAAATTTGAATTCATAAGTCGCAGAAACGAAAAATTATTTCTTAAATTGGAATTTTCTCATTAAATAAAGAATGATTCTAGCCGGTTTTACTGTCATTATCAACTTTCCATCATCTGAAACATCACTGGCATAATAAAATTCTCTGTATATTCCTAAATCAATAAATTTCTTAAAAAAATAACGGCTGAAAAAAATTCAAAATTTTCCATAAGTGGAGTGGGTCAAAAGCGTTGAAATTAGTCAACAACATTTTTCATAAAATATAAAACAATTAATTTCACTATCAAATAGGGCAATAAGAAGACAAATAAATGACTACCTTCGAAATTCCGCTCAGAGACACCGATGAGGTAAGTTTATTTGCCTCGAAATAGTGGTAAAAACATCAAAATAACAATAAAAACAATCCACGAATAATTTTCATAAAACTGCAATATTTATTGAAAAATATAACTTATTAACTATTATTTCTAGGTGATTGAGCTGGATATTGAGAACCTACCGGAAGGAGATGAGATTCTAAACATTTTAAGCCATGAACGATCGGCTTTAAACATTTGGGTTAATGTTGCTGTAAGTTGCGAATAAAATTCATGATCCAGAAAGATTCATTTTAAGCTTATCACTAATTTCATTGTAGATTGAGTATTATAAGCAAGGAAAGAAAGATGTTTTCCTCAAATTACTTGATTCAGCGAGACAGGAAGCTTTCCAAGACTACCGTGACTATGAAAAAGATCATATGCGAGTTATTGATAGTTTGGGTGCATATTATGTGCAGGAAGCAAATCGAGAGAAGAATAAGGACAAGAAACGTGAATTGTTTCTTAAAGCAACCCAACTGTACGCAACTGGTGACAAAATTATTATGTACGACCAAAATCATTTGCTTGGAAGAGCCTATTTCTGCTTGTTGGAAGGAGATAAGATGGAACAAGCTGATAATCAGTTTAATTTCGTGCTCAATCAATCACCAAACAACATTCCAGCATTATTGGGAAAAGCTTGTCTCTCATTTAACAAGAAAGATTATCGAGGAGCTTTAGCATTCTACAAAAAAGCACTCCGTACAAATCCAAAATGTCCAGCTGTTGTACGATTAGGTATGGGACATTGCTTTTTAAAACTGAATAATCCAGAAAAGGCGATATTAGCATTTCAACGAGCAAAAGATTTAGATCAGCAATGTGTTGGTGCTTTAGTCGGCTTAGCAATTCTTAAATTAAATCTTCACGAGCCAGATTCAAATCGTTTGGGAGTTCAGATGCTTTCACAAGCTTACACAATCGATCCAACAAATCCGATGGTTCTTAATCATCTCGCCAATCATTTCTTTTTCAAAAAGGATTACATGAAAGTGCAGCATTTAGCTCTTCATGCATTCCATAATACGGAAAATGAAGCAATGAGAGCTGAAAGCTGTTATCAAATGGCTCGTGCATATCATGCTCAACGTGATTTCGATCAAGCTTTTCAATATTATTATCAATCAACTCAATTTGCACCCAACAACTTTTTATTACCGCATTATGGACTTGGACAGATGTACATTTATCGTGGAGACAGCGAAAATGCAGGTATGTCTTCCTTAATATGTTAAAAATTGCTGTCATTAATCTATAAAATTTACTTCTAGCACAATGCTTTGAGAAAGTTTTAAAAATACAACCGAACAATTATGAAACAATGAAGATTCTCGGTTCCCTTTACGCTAATTCACCATCCCAATCAAAAAGAGACACAGCAAAGAGTCATTTAAAGAAAGTCACTGAACAAGTTCCAGACGATTTCGAAGCATGGATTGAATTAGCTCAAATTTTAGAACAAAATGACTTGCAAGGATCATTGGCAGCTTATGGAAAGGCAACATCCATTTTAACAGAAAATGTTGGGGACGATGTTCATCCAGAGACATTAAATAATGTTGCTGCCTTACATTATAGGATGGGAAATTTGCCAGAAGCAAAATTAAAGCTTGAACAGGCACTCGAACGTGCTAAAATTGAAGCAGAACATGATTCTCAATATTATGACTCAATTTCGGTTACAATGACTTATAATTTAGCCAGACTTTATGAGGAAATGTGTGAATTTGACAAGGCTGATAAAATGTACAAAGACATCCTTAAAGAGCATCCAAACTACGTTGATTGTTATTTGAGAATTGGATGTATGGCAAGAGATAAAGGTTTAATTTTTGTTGCTTCTGATTACTTTAAAGATGCCCAGAAAATTAACATGAATCATCCAGACACACGTTCTTTACTTGGAAATCTTCATCTTGCAAAAATGCAATGGACTTTAGCTGAAAAGAATTTTGAAGCCATTATGAAACAACGACAAGATCCGTACGCACTAATTGCTCGCGGTAATTACTTCCTTCAATGTGTCCATCAACCAATTCGTGATAAAAATAAGGATAAAGCATGTCTTGCAACAGCTCAAAAGACATTCTCTGACGTCTTACGTATTGATTCCAAAAATATTTGGGCTGCTAATGGTATCGGTGCTGTTTTGGCACATAAAGGATATCACATCGAAGCTCGTGATATTTTTGCTCAAGTTCGTGAGGCAACAGCTGATTACTCAGATGTCTGGCTGAACATTGCACACATTTATGTTGAACAGAAGCAATACATAAGTGCTATACAAATGTACGAGAATTGTCTGAAGAAATTCTACAAGTATCATAATGTCGAAATTATGCAATATTTGGCGAGAGCTTATTTCCGTGCTGGAAAATTGAACGAGGCAAAGACAGTTTTATTAAAGGCACGTCGTGTAGCACCAAACGATACAGTCTTACTGTTTAATGTTGCATTAGTTTTGCAACGATTGGCAATGCAAATTTTAAAGAACGAGAAATCTGTTTTGGCAGAAGTCTTACAAGCAGTCAGTGAATTAGGATTGGCACATAAATATTTCACATATCTCAATGTGCATGGCGATAAAACAAGATTCAATATAAGTGTTGCTGGCGTTGAAGCAGGACAATGCCAAGATTTGTTATCACAAGCACAATATCATGTTGCTCGTGCACGACACATTGATGAGGAGGAAAGAAGAATGCGTAAAAAGCAAGAAGATGAAAGATATGCATTTAAACAGAAACAGGAAGTGGAACGTAAGCGTCGTGAGGATGAAAGTAAGCGTTTGATAGAAGAAATGATGGTAAAACGACATGAATATAAGGAAAAGACAAAGAATGCGCTTATTATTGGTATGCCAGAAGAGGCATCAAGAAAACGTGGACGTGGACGTAGGGATTCAATTATTGATTCTGGCGATGATAGTGGTGGACCGAGACCTGAAGGCGAAGAAAGATCTTCAAAGAAACGACGAAAGGAACATGGCAAAAAATCACATGGTCGTAGACGTGAAAAACGAAGCAAAAAAGATGGTGCTGGGTCCGATAGTGATGAAGGTCCAAGTCGTAAACGCGGAAAAGCTAAGCCTACAGTTACTCGTATTAAGAATAATGATGATATACCGAAGGGTATGAAAGGAAAAATTACTTCTAAAGCTACAATTTCAACCAGTGAATCTGAAGATAGCGATGATGGTGCCTCAAAAAGACCATCAAGAATTGTCAAACGATCAGAAAGTGGAAGTTCTCGCTCACGTTCTGGGTAAGTTTAAAAGCTCTATTATGATTCAATGTAAAACTGTGATTGTTAATCTATTGCAGATCTCGAAGCAGCAGTGCAAGTCGATCACGCAGTCGAAGTAAAAGCAAGAGTAAATCAAGAAGCAGATCAGGTAAATTTTCAAATACTTTTAGAACTCTACTGTTTGGTTTAGGGGCCGTTCGCATTTTAGGGGGGGTTGTAACAAAATGTAACATATGGGGGGGGGGGGGGGGGTCAAGAAGTATATAACGTTCTAACGTGTTTTTGCGTAACGTAATAAGTGAATGGCCCTCTTTCAATTTTTTAAAGCTTAAATTGTACAATTGTTTTCTTAAAACCTTACATTTGTTTTATTAAAGCCATACAATAGTTTTAGGAAACATTTGGATTGTTTTAAAACTAGAATTTATTTTGGTCGTTATTTTTAACATTTTTAATGCTCCAAAACACAATTTATTCTTGATTGATCAGTAAATAACCTTTTATGTGTCCTTGCTCTATTTTACAGGTAGTTCAAAATCAAGAAGTCGTTCTCGAAGTGGAAGTGGCAGTCGATCACGCAGTAAGTTATTTTAATAAAACAAAAATGACAGGGGAAAGAACAAGTTGATAAACAGAAGCTTGATAAACAATTTTTTTTTTTTTTTGCATAAGAAGCATAGTTAATCAGTTAAGATTTCACTGTTCTTCCCCCTTAAAAAATGAATTAAATTAACAAAAATTAATTTAATCTTTTATATAAAATAAGGCCGTTCAGGAAGTCGTCGTTCACGATCAAAGAATCGTCGATCTAAATCTGGATCACGCTCAAAATCAGGTAGCCGTAGATCAAGATCTGGATCTCGTTCAAGATCGGGAAGCCGTAGATCTAAATCTGGATCACGTTCGAAATCAGGAAGCCGTAGATCAAGATCAGGAAGCCGTAGATCAAGATCAGGAAGTCATAGATCGAAATCTGGCTCACGATCACGCAGTGGATCACGTAGAAGCAGAAGTCGCTCAGGTATGTTATTTTAGTATTAGCCTACAAAAGCATAGATTAAAAAATTAATCATGTACATTAAGCACGCTAGACTTTATAACAGCTATTCTGAACTATTTATCAGATTCTAATCAATTTATTTCTCTAAAACATAGCACGCTCTAGAAGCGGATCTAAACGAAGTGGTTCAAATGCATCAAGACATAGTAGTCGAAGCCGTTCAGGAAGTAAATCAAAATCCAGAAGTCCATCAAAAACGCCAGCTTCTGACTAAATTCTTGGAAAGTCAACCTCGTTCCATTAACATATTAAATTTAATTATATTTTCATAAACAATTTGTAAGCTAGGCAGAAATAGTATCGGATATGAATAAAGAATATTTTTTCTTCTCAAGTACCAAATGTCTTGATAGCATATTTACAAACTAACTTGTCATTGACAATATTCATGACAAGCTTAAAAGGGCAATTAAAAAATAACTTCACATGACATCGATACCATAGCACTTGAGGTAAAATGCTCCCTTGACTCAATTAATTAAAATTTTAATTTTTATGAACCTACTTCATTTATTTATCATGAAGTGTTCTTCATATTTGTTGTATCCCTTGATTTTATGTCAACATAAAATTCATTGCCGCAGCCCTCTTTGCTAGTTTACGTAAACCGTTATTCAACATCATTTACCAACAATAATGCACTGTAATTATGCTCGCCTTATGCATACATACAAACAGGAAAGGAAAACATTCCGAATTAATCCTATTAAACATTAATAAAATCTGACTACCGTTCTACTCAAATTAAAGTTTTATTTGGAATTGGACGTATGTACCAGTATGTACAAATTACATTCTTATATATTTATAAGAGCGTGAGATGAACTGTATCAAATCAAATCCTATCACGTTCGTATGGATTTATTCCTTTACCCTGGATTTTTTTCTTTTGTTTGAAATTGATATTGGCTCTTTGAGGAAGCAGTTTGTTCCAATTCGAATGAGATATTGATACTGTTTGATGGATTGTGATGTTCTGATTGATAGAACTGGATAGAAGCTCTCCTGTTTTTGAATTGCTACAAAATCTTAAATCTCTCCGTTAAATGATGGACATGATAATTGAGATGCTGGTCTCGACTAGATCCAGTTTAAATTCAATTTGCAGATTCTATTCCTTTATCTAATTAGGGACCGTTGATAAATGACGTCAAATATTAATGGGGGAAAGGGGAGTAGGAGTTTTGTAACGGTTCAAACGAAGGAATTATTCACGACACAAGATGTGTGACAAGGAGGCGAATCTCGTATTAATAGACATCATTTATGAACAGCTCCTTCTAGAACGATTTCAATTAATTTTTGAACATCCAGTCCACAAACTTTCATAAATTGCGTAATTTTTATCTTGTCCAAAAAATCAAGTTTTCAAGTTCCTTCAATTGAAACACATAAAAATCTGCGTTCACAACAAGCACATCCCTTTACTGTCTTCCCAACTTTCCTGATACCATTGATGAGTGTAAAGTGATTTTGTCTGTTCAACAATACGCATCAAAATGTGTGTCTAGCATACATGAAAATTATAAGTTGTAATGAAACTGTACATGCAAACATAAACCAATGAGAATTGAAACTGACAAGGTGGAAAGAACTGATGCAGAAGCACGTTATTTATGCATAGCGTGGATGCTATGAGTAAATTTATAATTTTCCAGTTATGTGCATCATGTCTGATTAAGAATATTTAATCAAACTTAGGTCTGAATTGTCATTGACAATAATTATTTTTTTTTTAGTTCCAAAAGTCAATTGTAAAATTATGAATGAAATTTTTGCCAGCACCGAACCTCTCAAAATTCCACGAATCAGCAAAAAAATTCATCCGAAATGTTTTGGGATGAAATAAATCCGTCGGCAATTCGTAAATGCCTTAAAAGTGATCTCTGTCGCCTTTGTGTCTGGATGTTGAAAGAAGTGAGCATAAGAAATTGTCAAGTGAGGCGTACACAATAGAACAGTTCATTCACAAAAGGGAAGGTAAAAAAAATGTTACTAGAAAATGCAATTTTGTGCAATAAAAATGTTTTAAGGTAAAAAATGCAGGCGACATGCTGTGTGATTAATAGTTGCTAAAAATAATTTCAATTGCAATATTTTTACAATTATCGAAGGAATTTTTTGGTTATTTAAGAGACTTATTCTATTGTGTGCCTTAATTTTTTCTTTATTTCTCTTGAGCATTTTTCTTCAAGTTCTTCTTTTTGTATCTATTTGAATAGACAATCAAGTGCCGTAAGATTCTTCACCTAGAAAAAGAAAAATGTCATGCGGTGATGATGCTCTCTTTTCCATAAGAAAATGTAAAACTACCATTAAATACAAAACAATTGATTTTTTATGCACTCTTACAGTAAATCACATAAAATGTCCTTTTTCTTTGACTATACATTATTCATTATGCTTACAAAAGTAGAAATACTTGCTGTATCTATGCCACAAGAGATCCAAACAAGAACAATTTGATGATATCAGCATGTTTTATGCTGTAAAGTGTGGGAAAAAAGTTTCTAAAGGCACAAAAACTCAATATGATGTGTTTTATCACTGATTAATCAAGTCGGATCATAAAAAAATTGGAACTATTTTACATAATTGGTAATGACTAAATTATATCACGGTTTTCACATCATATGATGCTTGATTAAGAGTGCTGATAAGCTAGCTATCTATTTTTAATAAGTTTTCTGGATTTATTGATGAAATTGTTGACAGTTTGTCCATCAAATCATCTGATCTCGTGAAAGGAACTTTAGAGAACATGTCCATTTTGTTAAAGTAGTAGCTTTCATATCTAGGAACAACATGACAACATAAAGAAGATCGTTGAAAAGTTTACATACTCTCAGAGTCATAGCTTCAGAAAGCAACGGCTTAAACCAGCTTGGGCAAATTAGATAGCGTATGGATGTATGTTTTCTCTGTGCTTATTACCATGCTATTCTCTCGGCTGGCTTAAAAAAAACTACTTGTGGATGTAGATTGTAACTATCCATGCTTATAGTGAACCACCTTCCCTTATTATAAACAGCTTGAATAATGCGCATTTGAGCTATTTAAATGCAGACTCTTTAACTCATTTTCGCCTATGTCATCACTTTGAAAATACTACTTGTCATCGCATAAGCGACGAGAGCAGCAAAATTTCGTGGTATAATGAAAAAGATGATGTAGTCATAAAAGTATACGACTTTATGAGCATTTTCACACTAAATGGCTATCATGTTAAATGAAGTCTGAATTTATTGATATTTTGTTAATTAAAGGACGACTGAAAGTTGGTCAACGACCTTCTGTAAGCTGCATAATTTGGAATTTAGACAAACATTGCTTCTGTGGTAAAGAATTAGCTGTAAAATATTTAAAATAAGTCAATTTCCAATTTTTTGACATTAATTCTACAGATTTCTACTGTGTGACTGTTTAAAATTTCTATAAGTTTGAGGTTGATATTCCATAAATACCACAATGAATGGAAAGATTAAGGATAAAAGTCACATTTTGTACTATAATAAAAGGTTATGACGAAGCGAGAATAAGATTGAAAAGCATTTTGTGTGCAAAAAAAGGATTCTTGTGGTGCTGTTTTTTTATGAATGCACAAAAAAAAATCATTCTTTATTATTTTTCTCACTTCCTGACCTTTGGGGATAATAAGTATAATATAATAAATCGGATCAATATTAATGATAGAGTTTCCATCCATTCACAAAGTCTTCATCTCATTCCATAATATAAATCTACAATTTCGTTTATTAGTCATTAGCAGAAATTTTACGACACACCCAAGGAAGCCTTTAAGGCAGAAGAAGGTGCCGTAGCATATAAACCGATTTTCGCAGATTTTAATGTGTTTTTGATAAATTAGTTTTGATACTAATTAATCAGATTTGTTTGGGTAAATTTATGATTTATGTTTGCTTCCTTCAAGCTAATAGAATTATTTTAAGGAACTGACTCTCATTCTGAATATTAAAGTCTTGTCAGATTTTCGCAACATTTACAAATCGAGAAATTATAAAGTAACATGGGACAGTATCCTTTCTACCTTTATATAGACACTACAACTAAGGGTCTGCTGTATAATAATTTATCTTTTAGAGTACGAGCTAAGAGTGCTGAATAAGACGTGGCATTTTGTCAAACCTTTTTTCAAAAAGAAGAAGATTTGAGCTTTAATGAGGATAGAACTTATTCAATTCACGTTAAGAGTCAAAAAAACAGAGTCCAATGATTTTTGGATTGCATCCTTAAATTGTATGAAACTTTATAGTTCTATTTGGATCATTAAAGGAGTCGTTTTACGTTTTAAGCAATTTTCTGGTGGACGAGGACTGTTTAAAAATTTGATGTCATCTATGAATACTTACTTACTTCCTTAGCTGGAGCGCACGTGGGCTCATTGACGCGTTCAAAGATTGCCTGAAGACAGCTCTATCCTTCGAGACGTTCTGCCAGTTCGGGATATTTAGGACTTTAGCGCCTTTATCAACACATCTCCTAGATCTTTTGTCATCTATAAAGTCTACAACAGTCACTCTAAGTACTGGGGCATCTTGTGGACGTCTAGCCTATGAATACCCCATTTTATTAAGGGGTTGGGGGTTGTTCATAAATGACGTCACATGTGGGATGTATGGAGCTAAGAGCTTTTGAATTCCTTGGAATTCTATTGTTTGTTTTTCGATGCTTTTAAGAAACTTCTGGTTGTAGAACACAATAACGTTTGCTAAATCTTATGAATTCAATTACGAACTTACAAAACATACCAAAAACCAGTGTCTAGGCACAGAAGCAACGCTTCAAAAAGGCATCGTAAAAAGATACTCAATTTATCTATTTGTAATCCTACAAAAGCAGACACTTGAATAAATGTTGACAATATTTTGAGCAATTAATTTTCCGACCTCAATTTTTCACAAGCTGTATTCACATCAGAGTATTAATTTTCATACGGAATCATATTCCATGAAGAACATTATGTCAAAATATTATTTTTTTTTCGCGAAAATAGAAATTAATCTTGTGAGCACTTACACATGCAGAAAGGCATTGAATTTATAAAGAAAATAAATTTTGTAGAAATCATGAAAGGAAAATAAAAAATAAAAAAAAATTTCAAGGACATGATGGCATTTGAAGCACAAACAAAATATAATGATTTTTTAAACAAAAAATAAATAGAATGTCTGACGTAATGGAAGTGAAGAAGAAGAAGACAACGCAAATTAAAATCGATAAACTGTAAGATTGAGGATAATTAATCAACAGAATTAATTTTAGTTTAATTCACCGTCAAAATAGCGTGAAATTGTGAAATTAGTATTTACTATAGCT